TAAGCTGCCGGCCATTTCGAATCGAAACAAATTGCTATTGGGATCGTTTTCGGCATGCTCACTCGATATTTAATTTCTTTCAGTTTTTTACTATATATATTGCATGCATGCATGTGTGTGTAGTTAGGTTAAGTACTGCGTAAAGAAATATGTATGTGGTTTTTACTTATTTAATTTTAATAGGTTCTTAGTTTTATTTGCTTTTAAATTTTTTTCTTTCCACAACAAGTACTCTACATACATATTTATGTACATACGCTTGCTTTTTGTAGCTACCTTGACTTTTGCTTTTTCAATTCATTGCTAACAATTACAAGTCCACATATCCGTGTGCCAGTTTACGCTCGCCCATGCTAATCTCAGTCGATCAGCTACGTCAATCATCACTTGACTTGCAATCAAGCAGGATTCTCCGCAATACTGCTCCTCTACTTAGGCTGACTCGAAGTGAAAGCAAAACTGTAATTGCTTTATTCTCCGAGTCGATGACTACGTATGTATGTATGCATTGTTTGCTTGTGTATGTACATATTTACCAACCATAGCATTATAAGTATTTGCTTGGCTGCTTTGCAATAAGCGTACGCAGTTGTTGTGTCATTTTCGCATTAGATTCGGTTGGTTACGTATACGCAATGTAGTACTTTATATCAATCACACTTAAGTGCGAAGATGTGTATGGATTTATATTAGAGTGTAGCACAAAAGCGAAAGGAATATTTCGTATGTAAGTCGATTTTGATCAAACTGTGGTAGACTGTTGAAATAAGAGGAATCTAAAACACAAGATCGCGAGGTTCTGCTTCCAAATATGAGCTTCCACTATAATTATTGACCATTATATTTACTTATTTACTAGGAAACAGTCGAGACGGGGTAATGAAAATAAATTTTTTTCTGTGTCAAAAAACAATATTGTTTTTTTTTCAATAAACCCGCCCTTTTATTAATAAATAATTTCAATTTCAAAACTTATTTTGGGCACATGGTGTCCGTCGATATTATAACTTTAGGGTACTGCTTCGCTAGAATTCAACTGGGATACTCTTCTTTCTCGTTGATGGTACCAGTCATCCTAATAAAGGCCCTCTGCGCCTGGCTACAGTTATGTATTTGCCTTTGTATCTTGGTTATCGCTGTGAAGGCTAATCCTTGCTTAATTCTATAATCACAGTTGCTAGCTCCATAAGGTTTTATGGATCACACGATCGAGAACATATCCACCTCAGTATTTTTAGAGAGCAACCCCAACTTTTTTCTGTCAGGGGCCAAAACGTTATAGTAAATTATGTTACAGCTTGGTTGTTTTGTGTAGTTCGTCATCTCATCTTATTTGATGCTCGTCAGCCATGGCAAAAGCGCCACAGATCTTGCATAGGATAGTTCTCCCATGTGTATGGGCATAATGAAAGAATTACAAAACGTAAATTTCTTCGTCGAGAAGGAACTCTGCATTTCAATTACTCGCCGAACCCAAAGTAAAATCAGTTCGCAAGAGCTATTCTTCGCTGGACCTCGAAGCTGACATTAATGGTGGTAATTATGCTGAACTCTAGGTACTCCTTAACTACTTCGAAGTTACGACTTCCAATAGTGATATGTGACCCAAACTGCGAGAACCGACCTCTTTTCTATGCTATCAGCGCCGTACTTGTCCTGTATATGGTGCCGTGGAAAAGGTTTATTCCACGGTAATTTGCACAAAACGGCGGGTTCTCTTTTCTTGTGAGTTATGAAAAGTACAGTGAGACTCCTATCTCCGAGGATATATTCAATAGTCCAAATTCTGAGATGCTTTGGAAATTCCGTAACGATTTCTTTACGAGCTTAAAAAAAAAAAATCATATAGAGGGGCTGGCATGGACTCGTTAAGAAATTTCTGGATATTTTCCAAAATAAACTTGTAAGAGGTTTCTTCCCATCGCAGCATTATTATTATTACTTTAACGGTATTCTTCCGAGAATTCGAAAAAAGAATTGAAGTGTTTAACGTACATTTCATTTAAAAACACTCTCCAAAAATATGAGAGGGAAATGAGGATTTTTTTACGAATGCTTCTCTACTTTTCACATTACTCTGAAAGTATGGTTTCCAGGGTAGGTGTTTAAAAGGTTTTGTATCTCCCTTTGCCCCATACGAAGTGACGCGGTTTAATGTAAAAAAGTACTTAATACATTTGCACAAACATGCCTACATACATACATATGTAAGTACTTGACTGAAGCCGACTGCTTCAAATCGTTTTATTTTATTTTATGCCTCCTTATGTTGCAAATCCAATTTAGTGCAATCTTTTTATGCTCCTTTCTTACTTACTTACTCTAGAGCCGCTGTAACTGATTTCTCATCACATTTTCAACTACATAAATACCTATGCACATACATATATCTACGCATTTGTATACATGTACATACATACAGACATATGTATATAGTATATAAATACAATTGTACACATGCGCCATACTTTTCAATGCTTTTTCACATTATTGACATTTGTGAGTGCCACATTTGATGACGTTAAAAAATACATACTCATGTATAAATGTGTATCAGTATACACGCACAAAATATGTTTCGGTAAAATATGATTTGCGAAGCGAATTTTGTTAGAAATTTATGACAGATGATGCGATGTTCAGTTTTTATTTATTTATTTTTTTCATTTCTTTTTTTTACTTTTATTTCTATTTTCATTTACATTTTATTTGCACTGTAATTGCATTGAACGAAAATGAACTTCAATCGAATCGATGAAGCGTAAATTCATTTTATTGATGAGCAAAGTTCCACAAAATTGTTATTGCGTGGATATGGCTTAATACAAACATAAGTTATGTATACGTTTATATGTTCTTACATACATACATAGCTCCATGCGTATACAATATTTTTACATGTAGCTGCTCTCTTCCGAAAAAATTTTATAAAAATGAATAATACTAAAGACTATGCATATAACATAGTAGGCGGCCGTCATATCCAAGTAGTTAGAGTTTGAAATTTAGGTCAAAATTTGTTGAATTTTTTTGTAGTTTTCTGCAATATTTCAAACTTGGGTTTATATGTGTTTTATTAGAGAATGAACTGGATTTTCATTGAAAACTCTTAAATAAATAAACATGGGTGGCAAACAATATCACTTTGAAAAGGGGGTGCTATTGATATGGCCGATACTGACATATAAAAAAATTAGAAAATTTTTTTTTTCTGGAGCGTTCACCCTTCGGATGACCTCCACGTGGCAGAAGGAAAAAAAAACACTTCTCATAAAACCCATCAGTTCGAAGGCGAATCTAAGTAAACAGGCACTTAATGGACATTAAGGTGGACCAAATGTTCATGTGAGTGAAAATCGAA